TCAGTTCTTGGTGCTGGCATTTCTTGAATTGCTTTGACTTTATCAGGGTCAACTTCAATTCCTTTCTGGATAACAATGAAACCCAACAATTTCCCCTATCGAACACCGAAGGTGCATTTATTTGGATTCAAGCGGAGACGATACTTCCTCAAACGCTGAAACAACTTCATTAAATCTTCTATATTCCCTTCTTCAGTCTGGTATTTGACAATCATATCATCAACATATACTTCGATTTCTTTGTGCGTCAGATCATGGAATAAGGTTGTCATAGCCCTCTGGTACGTTGCACCAGCGTTTTTCAACCCGAAGGGCATCACTCTGTAACAGAATGTTCCCCAGGATGTGATAAACGTTGTTTTTTCCATGTCCTCTGGAGTCATTCTTATTTGATTATATCCGAAAAGTCCGTCCATGAACGATAATACTTTGAATTTTGCTATGTTATCCACTAGCATTTCAATGTGTGGCAATGGAAAATCATCTTTTGGACTAGCTTTATTTAGATCTCTATAATCTACGCACATGTGGACTTTTCCGTCTTTTTTCGGTACTGGGACAATATTGGCAATCCATTGAGGATACACTGACGTCACAAGAAAACCAGCATTAATCTGCTTTAGGACCTCCTCTTTGATCTTTACTGCCATTTTTGGGTGGGTTCTTCTCAACTTTTGTTTAACTGGCGAACACTCTTGCTTCAACGGAAAACGATGCTCGACAATATCTGTATCTAGACCAGGCATATCTTGATAAGACCAAGCGAAAATATCCACATACTCTTTCAACAATTCAATCAACATGCTCTTCTTATCAGGATATAATGATGCTCCAATCTTGACTTCCTTCGGACCCTCTTCTGAACCCAAATTAATCACTTCCAAAGGCTCCTTATATGGCTGAATGGTATTTTCCTCGTGCTCAAGCAACCGTGAGACCTCTTCTAGAACCTCATCATAATCTTCTTCTTCAACCCCAAACACAGGACATTCAAAGTTGGGATAGGGTGCAGGGTCATTGTATTCAACGGGTTTTTTAATTAATATGCACATATGATTTATGATTGCTTTTAGAAACTGACACCTATAACAAGTGATCATGCAGATTAATTTTCAGTTATTATTTATTTTGAATGGTTTTTTCTGATTACCATTTTCCAAGAAAAAGCAGAAAATAAAGACATAATTTTGGAAGCAAAGATAACTTTTATTAATGATCTTAAAAGTCACAGCAAACAGATAAGCCCTACAACATTAATACTTCCACCTTGGGCAGAGTGAAACCTTTTCAAAATAAAGAAACAGATTTAACAAAACAAATTACTTTGAAACATGTATGCAAGAAGGAACATAAATGGTGACCCAGTTATGAACTCTAAATCCATGCGTCACATAATTCGGTACTTCCTGCTCTGCTTCATCTTCATCAACAACATTAATTCCAGTATCAATTGGATGGAGGTAGCCTCCGCTGCGGAAAACATCATGATAACTGTTCACAGTAGACTTTGACTTCAAACTTTCGCCTTTACCAATCTTTAAAGAGAAACCTAAACCAGTTATGTTCTTGTTCATGGGTGGATCCATAAGTCGTCCCCAAACTATATTATGACCACTGCGCACAACCTGTTGCGCGTCCTTCAGCGAAACCACTGAATTCTCATTTCTCTTTATGTTTTCAATGGATAGGGCTTGAAACTGGGTTCCAACAGCAACTTCATCCGCTTCTACAATACTAAAAGAGGATAAATGGGATACCAACAATGTCTGCTCCCCATTTATGATCACTACCTTCCCTTCATGCACAAACTTTAGCTTCTGATGCAGAGTTGAAGTGACAGCCCCTGCTTCATGTATCCATGGCTGTCCAAGCAAACAACTATATACGGGAATAATTTCCATGACCTGGAAGGTTATCAGGAACAAATGTGGTCCTATATGGATGGATAAGTCCACTTCACCGATGACAGATTTCCTTGACCCATCAAATGCCTTCACAATGATGCCACTCGGGCGCATAGATGCTCCTTGATACTTTAACTTCATGAGAGTACTCCTCGGTATAACATTCAAAGTAGATCCATTATCAATTATCACATTGGACAACCAATCATTCTTGCAGTTCATGGATACGTGGAGGGCCAGGTTATGATTCCTCCCTTCATTTGGTAACTCATCATCGCAGAAACTCAAGTTATTACATGACGTAATGTTTCCAATTACGCTGCTGAATTGATCTAATGGCATGTCACTCTCCCCAAAAGCTTGGTCTAGTACTCTCATCAATGATTCTCTATGAGAAGAGGAATTCATCAATAAAGCTAGGATAAATATCTTTGAAGGAGTCTGCAGTAGCTGATCTACAATTCTGTAGTTGCTCATCTTAATTATCTTCAAAATATCATCCACTTCTTTCTATAATGTAGCTCCACTAGTCTCTCCTGTAGCCTTCTTAGGCTCATCATTCTCAGCAATTTTCTTTCCAGTAACAACATCTCTTTGTACAACCGGTGCAAACACACGACCACTACGAGTCACCCTGCTATTTTTAGCTATATTTCCAACATCAGGCATTGGCTGGATGGGAACTTCCACCCCATCTTCTAAGATTGTAGAGTTGTATTTGTAAGGCACAACCTTATCTGATTTGTAGGGAATAGGACCTGGAAAACTAATTACCAATGGGGTAACAGCTGGTTTGCTATGGTACTCCACTTCAAGATGAGCGGGTGCACTAAAACAAGGCACAATGACGTTTACCCCTTCTTCAACACAATCAGACATCAAAAAGTCATTTCTGTGAAACAAATCTTCGTCTGAAGAGAAATACTCATCCGTAGAGGCATACTCTTCCTCTGACTCTTCTTCCATTAAACAAACTTCAACCATATCAATCTCATGATAATCATCCCTCTGACCCGTGATCTTGATAGTTCCATTGTCTAACAACAACTGAACACCCTCCCTCACAATTGAACATCCTCGGGAATTTCGACAGCAAACTATGCAAGACCCATATTGGTGTTCCACCTGACCAGCAGTACGACAGAAGGTAGCATGCAGATGCACGAGATCCTCATTCAAATACTCTGTTGTACCCCAATTTTTGACCTAAGATCCCATTTTTATTTTTTCATTTTTTAAGATAAGTCAAGGTCACGAAATACGGTCGGTTTTAACCTCTCACTTTCAAGTATTTACTATGCGAAGATTGTCAAGTGTTTTGAACATTTTGAGCCTATGTATCACTAATTTCTAATCGCATACAAAGGTGTATGTTCATGTTTTCTTTTGTGTCATGTGCAGAGACAGGTCTGAATCAAGAGCATCAGGTGTCGCGCCTCAATTAAAGTTTTGAGTCTCCCAAGCCCGAGGTACGGTTGATTGTGGATTCTTGAAGACTGATTCATCAAGGCACATCGTTGCACCCTTAATTTCGCCCCTAATATGTTTTAGTCGCACTTTCATATCATATTTTGTTATTTGGTCACAATCATTAGTAAATATCTTCATTCATCACATTTTGCATCATTAGTCGTATTTAAGTTGATCAGAAAAAGTCAGTTTAAATAAAAGTTTGCATCGTCTTTCAGTTGTAAAATACCCGGCATTTTGCTTCATGCATTTTTATCTATTTACTCATTTGTTGCATTGCTCCAAGTTGTTTATATGTCAATAATAAAAATATTTTGGTTTTATAGACCGACTGTTAAAAGCGATTGACACTATGCGGGAAATTAGCGAGAAAATATTTCAAGTTTTCACCTTTTACCGATCATTTTATGAATCTGCGTTTCGCGTAGATCATGACGGTATGCTCGCTTTATTTTTTCGGTACAGTTCGAAGTCTCGTTTTTAACCTTAAACGTCTGTTTAGTCTGATATTTTTATTATTATTTTATTTTTGATTTTTGACTTCTTGAATATTTTTTTCTTTAATCTTCGTGACATGTAGTTTATTTTAATGTGTTCATTTTATTTTATCGGATAAATTTTCGTTCGTTTTTTATCGTTTTCGGTCATTTTGTGTCTTTATTTTTAATTCAGAAAAAATTCAAAAAAATTAGTTTAAATTGAGTTATTTTTTTATACTTTCAGGTTTTATTTTATTCAGGGGCGTTTCTGTCACAAAAATATATTGATTACACTATACTATGCTCTCATTGGCTGTTAGCAAAAGTGGTGGATTGATACAAAAAAAAACAAAAAGCAACACAATACTCTTCTCTTTTTTTCAGCATATCATCATTTCCTCTCTTTAACTCTCTATTCTCCCACTCTCCTTATACTCATTCAAAGATCAACACCAATAACAACATACCCAGTGAAAAATATTTGACACTCACTCTCTTGGATTCAAGATAAACTCTTAAACAACCACGCGCCCACCACCTTATAAAAGAGCTTCTCATCATTCAACTGCAAAAATGGTTACACATTCAGTTAGAGGTGGTAGCAAACTTCAAAGAGAAACCGATCCAAAAACTCTCTCACACTCTCATCTTCAAGCTAGAGATTCTCTCTCATCTCTCGAGGATTCACGAAGATTCCTTCATCTTCTTCATCCTCACATTAAAGAGAAGTTATAGTGTGTATTGGTTCTGCTCTGAGATCCACGAATCCTCAGTTACATCACCATCCCCTTCAATCACCGTCTCCGTCACTAAATTTCCTTCTCACCCCCATTCCCACCGCTACCCTCATTTCACACAGTATCACAAAAAAACTGCCTCTACTTGTATTCCATTTCCATGGCAGTTGGAACAACGCAACTAACTGCTACCACTTTACAATCGCGATTCTCCGAGTTGTCTCGGTTATGGAAACTTTGACTCCGAGCTTATTGTTATTCACTCTGCTTGAAATTCTTTCGTCAATGATAGTTCTGTGTTTCGATCGTTCTTCATTTTCACCTTCTGCAGATTCTTGTTCATAGTGCTGTTGATTTGTTTCGAGTTTTGTGTAGATCTGTACCGGTCGGAGCAATCAACGGCGTCGGTCATGTTAATCGATATATTAAAAAAGGTCCAAGGCTTATTGCTGAAATGGATGCTTATATTGTCTTACTTGGTATTTATGATCAAGTTTGGTGCACATGGTAAAACACTGGAACCTCCATTGCTATCTGCAGCTAGATCATCTTTTAAACACTGGAACTCCCACGGGTCTAAGGATGTGCTTTTTCATGGTGTAGCAACAATTGGAGCAGTGTCCCCGGCCAACCCTCCTTCATACGGTCCTTTCATAAACCCCAGTCACCCCCCTAAAAGTTCACATTTTTCCATCCAATTCAAGAAGAGGAGTGAATGGAAACCTCCAATTTCTGGCTTTAAAGATATTGCTCCTATTCGTTCTACGGAAGCTGCAGTCCCTTCTGTTTTGGCTCAGCCACCGTTGACCCATCAACTCCTTCCATCATGCTTGCATTCACCTTCTTCCTCATCTTCTTCTCCGGTTTCCTCCATTTCCCTTCCATGTCTCCAGCACCACGCAGACTACCATCCACGCGTTCTCCTCCGGTGACGCAACATAACAATTGGTACAAAGTTGTTGTGTTCTTTTTTTTTCAGGAACAAAGGGAAAGCAGAAGAAGAAGATCTCGATGTCCACCATTCTCACTCTCGACCGTGTCGCCGCCGTGCCGCTACTTGTTGCTACTTTCTATATGGATGGTTGGCGAGGAACAGTAGCTACTACCACAATCTTCATTGTTGCTTCTGTTACTGATTGGCTTGATGGTTATATTGCTCGCAAGATGAATTTAAAATCTTCATTTGGTGCATTCTTAGATCCTGTTGCTGACAAGCTTATGGTTGCTGCTACTTTGGTTTTATTATGTACTAGACCTTTGGAGGTTGGTTTCTTTGCACAAGCACCTTGTTTACTAACCAATATACCCCTTATACTCAGCTTGCACCCCTTTGTTAAAAAATTGTTTTTAGTTTAATTTTAATTTCTTAACTTATTTGTTTTAGTTATTTAGTTTAGTTAGTAAAAATTATTTAGTAATCGCATTGTTTTAGTCAAGTAATTTAACCATGGAATCAATTTAGAATTATTTAATAATCTTAGAATTTTTAGTTAGTTTAGAATTATTTTTATAACCTTTGAATTTTTAGTTAGCTTAGATTTATTTTAGTAACTTTGGAAATTTAAGTTAGTTTAGATTTAACTTAACAACTTTAGAATTTTAATTTTATAACTTAGTGATTTTATAATTAACTTAGTTATATTTAAATTAGTTTAGATATAATTTAGTAATTATAGAGCTTTAATAACTTTAGAATTTTTATTTGATTTAGATTTTAACTTGATAACTTTAGAATTTTTTTAAATTTAATTTAGTAACTTTAGAATTTTACTTGGTTTAGGTTTAATTTGATTTAGGTTTTAATTTAATAATTTTAGAGTTTTCATTTAGATTTAATTTAATGCCTTTATAATTTCGATTTAATTTAAATGTAATTTACTAATTTTAAAATTTTAATTTAGTTTAGATCTAATTTAGTAATTTTAGAATTATTTTTTTATAGCCTTAGAATTTGTAGTTAGTTTAGAATTATTTTAACAAGTAATCTTAATTTTTTCAATTTAGTTCAAATAACTTTTTTAGATGATTAGTTACATTTATTTATTTTATTTCCTTGTGGATTTTCGAATATTTGTAATTTGACGTTTATCTTATTTCGCTTGTTTGCTCAATTCCAAGAGAAATGTTTCAACTCAGCTGACTTCATGTCATCAAATACATCTTCTACAATCGTGCGAATACCCTTATTCATTTTTTTGTTTGTTTAATATTTTTCCAAACTCAAGATAATTTTCCCAAAAGACTCCATTTTTAAACTCACACCTTTTAAGTCAAAACTTCGACACTAGGTCGTCGTATCTTCAAAATCTCTCCAACACCGATTTTTAGCCAAACAAACCATTTTAATCAAACAAACAATTTTAACCAAAAACAGATATTTCAAAAGGTTCCTGCGGAGTACCGCAGATGCATTGGGTGCTAATACCTTCCCATTGTATAACCAACCCCCGAACTTTAGATCTCTTTCAAAACACATTATATTTTTATTATTTTTAAGTATTATTTTACATTGCATATTATACGGTTTTATTTCGCTCTTTTCCCTTTTCCCTTGGAAATAATAAAGCGCGGTGGCGACTCTTGCTTTTGCGAGTCAAGTTAATTAATAGCTTGATCTCCTATTTTCACCGCTACAGAATTGGCGACTCTGCTGGGGACAGATTGACCTCTTGCTGGTCCATCCCTAAGTGGGTTAAGCCTAATTTGTTTTATCTGTTTTATCATTATTTGATTGTTTGATTATATGTATATATTGTGATTATTTGGGTGTTGATAATATTTACAAAGGACAAGTCCTATACCCGGACTAAGTTACACTTAGGAATAGGACGGGCGGTATAGTCATGTTAACTTTGAGGGAGTAATCCCGAAGAAGGAGGCATGAGATCCCCCACTCAGTGGAAGGCCCTTTTGAACATAATATTTGTTTACTGAGTAATCTAGAAGACATTATTATTTTCGACCTGGGAGCCAGAGAAGCTGGGAACCGTAGAACCCTAACCCATCTTGGCCTTTTAGGTGTAGCGCGGAGATTATAACGGAGTAATCCGGAAGTAGTTGTCACGCGATACTACGCTCGGATGAGTTTCTCTTGAGAGTATTGCTGATTATTGAGTAATCAAGACGTTGGTAATATCCGAAGGAGGAATGTAGACTCTGGGAACTCCTAGAACCTTGTTCTACAGGTGTGATTAAACCGTTAGTACATACCTTAGGGGTGTTCCTTACCTTGACTCCATGCTCGTGACGTTGAACCTTTCGACTTTACTTGTGACCTTGCTTGTGGTTGTTTCATAGCCATGCATTCATGCATCCATAAAACCCTTTTCACTTGACTTTGAAGGAATTTGGAGGTCTTTCTTTGTAAACATCACAAGTTTTGTCAAGCTCAATGGATCTTGGGTGTTGATAGGGCGAAACCCCTAATCCACCAAAATGGATGATTGATCTTGATGATAACTTGATCAATGTTTGGAGCCAATTTAAAATTCATCTCCTATCTTCATACTTTGATGTTTACAACTTAATATCTTGAGTTCCTTGAAAATCAAATAAAAACTCTCTTTTGCATATCATACATTATTCTACAATTTTTTGTTTCACTTTCAAAGGTCTTTTTCCGAGTCTTATTTTTCCTTTGGTCTCACCAGTACAACACTCGCGCTAAGAGGACAATGGAGAATATCAAGCAAGAGGTTTCTGAACTCCGTGGAGAGATGACTATTTGAAAGCTAGTGTGGAGCACTTAACTGGTTTGGTCGAAATTTTGGTTGCCGCCCAAGTCAATCCCTTTAGAAGGGAGGAAGAGATGATAAAAGTCTTCACTGAAACTCTAAAATCATTCTCTCATGAGAAGGTGTTGGTTAATGCACCTAATTACTTTCCTGACAAGGTGAATATGGGAGTGCGTCTAGAAGAAGATGTCGGAAAGGGATGTTCATATGAAGATGGTAGCCCAGCTAATGGTGTGAAGAAGTTTGATAATAACTTTCCCAAGAAGAGAACCAGAGGAAGAAATAATCATCGTCAGAATCATCATGTTTCTCCTATTCATCAACAGAATCAGCAAGTTCCTAATCAGAGGAAAACCCAGTTTGATCCAATTCCAATTACCTATACAGAGTTGTTCCCTATCCTGATGCAGAGGAATTTGGTTCAGACCCGACCTCCACCGAAGGTTCCTGAGAAGATACATTGGTACTACAAAGCTGATTTGGCTTGTACTTTTCATCAAGGTGCCCCTGGGAATGACTTGGAGGGTTGCTTTGCTTTGAAGATTGAGGTTCATAAGTTGGTCAGAAGTGGTATCTTGTCATTCAAGGACGTTGGTTTTGAAGTTCAAATCAAGCATGCGCCGAGGAGTAAACACGATTGATGGTGATTTTGATTTTTGAAAGAATGTTTTCGGTGATTCAAGTCCAGATGGAAAGCCTTCCCAGATTATTAACTTATTTCTGATTTTGTAATTTTTCTTGTTTATCAAAACATTGTTTGCATGTAAGAACTTGTTTGCATCTGTATGATTATCTTAATACAATGAGTATGTTTGTCTTGAAGAAATTCATTCGTTTCACTCATATTTGTTTTCAAATTTTAAATTTCTTTTGGCATTATGATACCGACTTGTTGCCCATTCTCTTGCCTAGGCAGAGATTGAAGGGAGGATGATGATCTAAAGAACACAAAATCTCTGGTTGTATTGCTTTTGAATAAAATCTTGCTGATGATGTACAGGCATTGTTTCAAGTCCCTAAACACCGGAGATATAAGGAAGATAATCCCTTTCTAACCCCCTTTGAGCCTTTGAAGCAGAAGTTTCTTTTCTATACGAAAAAACCTTGAATTTTAACCTAGGGCAGGGTAGTTTTTAGTTAATCTGACTGAGTGTTCAAAATTTATAAGGAAGATGTTTTTTGAAGAGAAACTACGAGGGCTATCCTTCATGTATAATGAATCTAGAGGATGTGGAATCACAATGTTATCCCTCATTCATCAAGAAACGAGGCAATCACAATCTTCTCAACAAGCAAATACAAGCTAATGTCACACATTTTGTTCAAAAAGTCAAAAAATCGAGAAAAAGAAAAAGCCTGCTAAGTCAAAAAACATGAAAACGTGTGACTTAGGCAAAATTAAGGCATCCCGCTGGACTATCAATTTAAAAGAATTAGTTCAGGCAAAAGTTAGGGAAAATAAAAATTGCAAAGAAAGGACTACAAAGAAAAGTCCTCAGCAAAGAGCAAATTGGTGACTACAAACACGAAGACATGAGGGTGGTTTCTACTCCAAAAGCCTCGTCGTTTCCTTGACCGTCACAAAATCCTTTTGAGATATGAACACTCATGTCGAATTAACTGAACATAGGGTTGGAGAACATCATGAAGAATGGGTGGGCACCAAATATTTTGAGCCTTAAAATCTTTTTTCTAAAAAAACCATGAACCAGACCACGTTACAACCTTCAAAGTCCTAATTGAAGCAAGGTTATTTTGAAAGCATACTTCAATGAGATAGTGTTCCTGACTCCCATGAATGTTCTAAATAGTTATGTTGGTATCATATGTTTTTCCTATACAAAAATAAATGATGCTCTAACTCGCAAAATTTGTGCGATATCTTTTCAAAATCTTCAAGACTTACATAACTGTTGCATTAGAATTTTCATTCTCATAATAAAATTTTCTAACTGCAAAACATTTGTTTGATATCAAGGAAACTCACATATAAGCAGCAGTGATGAGTTTATTCTTTTAATGCTTGAAACTATGTTGAGCAATTGGAGAATCATTTCAAGAAAAAATCATATCCAGGGGCATGTCAGCTGAAGACCTTAAGCACAAACATGTTGCTTCTCCCAGTTATTGCTTTTCCCAACTTGTTTGCTCGTTTGGGGCAAAAATTCGAAGACTTTGTTGTGCCGACTATAGTCAAT